TGCAACAAGCTCGTCGCTGGAGGAGGTTGGTATAATCGCTTCCCAAACTGAAAAAGATGCTGAGGTCACACGTGTCGATCCAGAAGAACCATATTTGGGCTTTGTAAATGCAGAAGCGGACTTGTTATTCAGTAAAGATAAGAGTGATAGTGTTTGTAGAATCTCCTCAAATCTAACAAGCATCCATGCAGATGAAGCTGCAAATTTCGAGTGTAATTTTTCTGAGAATGATTACATCTTACCAAACTCTGATAGTTCCTTGAACATGGATCCTTCTGGCATGGAGTCTGTACCATCCGCTGTTAAAGAAGATGTTACAAATTATTGTGTCGACAATTTGCATCAGACTGAGATTTCTGAGCAAGATGGTGCGGATACAAAATGTGGATTGGAAATTCAAAATGATGGTGTATGCTCTAATCATTTGCAGTCTGATAGTAGTTCAGTAAGCAGTACACATGAAGGGAAGGAGTGTGCTTTACATGCAGCAACTGACAGTGAAATTAGATCTTCCTTTGAAGTACAAGACACATGTCACAAATATGGTAAGCATCCTTTGAATTTTATTAATCTTGTGTTGATTTGGTTTTAATGACTTTAAGAGTGCTTGACCGTGATACTCATACGCATTTATAGGCCTTGAGATGTAAAAGTTTAGAAAGAAATAAAAAAGCTGAACTTTACATGCAGTGGCATATCCAGAAAATATTTTCAGGAGGGCAAATTTTACATTATAAACAACATATTCTAAAATAGGCTATAAATAATGAGCTATTAGTCAACAAAAACATTAATACATAACTTTTCATTTCGTCCAAAAAATATACACACTTTAAAGAATTTTTTGTATTGCTAAAATTTCACTTTTATAATACGGAGTATTTAATAACATTATTTGTACTTTAGTGAAATTATATCAATAATAAATAAATTAATCAGTGAAAGTAATGCATGCCACTAAAATATTTTAAGTTGCAAATGTATAATCATGTTTTTTATATAGTCTAATCAATAATCATGTAATAAGAGAAAAAATTATATTATACTATGTGTAGATAAATTTATAATACTTCCCCCGTCCCCTAAAACTTTGCCATCTTTGAATTTTTTGGTGAATCATGCTCAACTTTGACCAACTATATATATTTATAGGAAATTATTATAATACAAAAATGATCTGAAAATATTATTTCTTAAAAGTACTTTTATAAAAGTATACAATTTATAACTTTCATAATATTATATTAATCAAAGTCATGTTCCAACTTTACCACTATTGACTTGAAAAGTCAAAGATGACAAAGTTTTAATGGACGGAGGCAGTATATTGCAAAATTATACCAATTGTTTATAAAAGTGAAGATTGTGGTTATTTGAAACATTTATAAAGGGTTACATGTACAAAAGTGAAAAACACAATTATAAAACAAAATGGAGGAGCAGGGATTTGAACCCAGAACACTGCAAATTGAAGAAAGACTTTACAGCATTCGCTGCGCTCTAGCTACTCTACTACGTCTCTTGATTCCAAGCTGCTATTTCTTTTAATTATATATAGATAAATCGTTTGTGTGTGTGTGTAGATTTTAATTTGTGTACATATATATATATGGGGGTTGAGACTTGAGAGGTGGCTATGGTGGGTAAGGAGGGGTCGGATGTCCGCAGCCTTACCCCGTACTTAAAGTACATAGAGACTGTTTCCGGATGACCCATAGTGAAAATCGCGTCATAAATTGTATAGACGGGTGACTCTTTCATAACAAAGAAGCACAGACAGTTTAGTGAACCATTTTTCTTTATTTCATCATATTCCCAACTCAAGCCAAAAAATACTGATTAAACACACATGGGACAAAAATGTTAATTTTCAATCTTAGAACATTAATGTTAGCATTTAGCAACGCAGTCACTAATAGTCAACTGTCATTGACGGTTCAGTTTATAATTCTGCATGTTGAACTAATTTAGTATAAAACATTGCCAAATTCATACTAAAGTGTTATTGCCACTGGCCACCGGACATCTATAGTCAATTGGGGGGGGGGGTCAAGGTTCATTTGACTGTTTTTTTAATCACAACTTTTGCAGAAAAGATTATGATTGGTTTTTCCTTGTCTTGTGACAGAGGAATCAACTGTTGTCCTGGAGGGGCGACCAGGAGTCAAAACAAGAAGCCTGACATTAGAAGAAGCAACAGATACGATACTGTTTTGCAGCTCTATTGTCCACAATCTGGCATATAATGCCGCAGATATAGCAATTGGCAAGGAAAATTCTTGCACGCCAACTCTTACTATTGGTGGCGGCAAAGCTAGTCCAGATAGAAGAAATCTGCGGAGTAGAACAGCTGCCAGACGCAACTCCAGGTCATCGTCTCAGCAAAAAGTCAAACCGAAGGTGATGGAACCTGAAACAAAACCTCTTCCAAACAACACTGACAGCGATGAGTCAACCGAAAAATCAAATGCTCGTATTGTTGGGGCTCCTCCTAGTAAGGTTGAAGCCATGAAGCCGCCTCTTAAACTGGAATCCAAATGCAACTGCACTGTCATGTGAGTCAACTACCTTCACACCATTCTTGCTCGGCTTTTCCACATTATTGGAGCTAATTTGCAGAAGGTGCTGATGATGCTAAGCGGATATTTATCAATTGTTTTTGGTTTGTTTGTTGGGTCCAATTGAATTTAAAGATGATTCAGTAACATAATCATTGTAAAGTTTTTTCAGTTCTTGTTAGGCTGATAAATAGCAAGGCGTTGGAGGTTCTGGAATGCCCCAATGGCCTATATTCTTGTTACATCACTTCTCACTTGTATGTGGTTTGTAGTGTTCCACTAGAGAACATAGTATGTATTCTTTTGTTGCTGCACTCTCACGTTATAATGAATTCCTAGGTAAATTTTTCTACTTCTGTTTATCCTTTCAATGTGAGGGAAAGAAACGAAAAGAGGGATGACGATTGATGACTAAACTCTATCCTATCCTACTTATAACTAGAAATGACCTACCCCAATGACCATAAAACTGGATAAACATAAAACACTACCTGCAGCTTAAATCATGAATGACATGAAAATTGACTCAAAACTAAACCAAATAACTTCCTCTTCCCTGTCCCGCAGCCCCCCCATCCCCAGTTCAGGCCTCCAAGTACTGGTCCCTGTACCGCCTGGCAGGCCGGGTCGGGCCTTCACAGTGGCGGGCCGGGTCCCAGGCCGAGCTGACCCGTCCCAGTCCAATCCCCCCCCCAAGGATAAGTGTTCAGCCCCAAACTAAAATAGCAAGATTACATTGATAGTGTCACTGAACATATAAATTTAACCCAAATGCAGTCTTGATTGAATTGATTCAAGTGAGAGAGCCAAACGAAGTCGATCAAAGAGCTTCCAAAGGCCGGACCTCCTATCAGGCTATCACCAGTCTTTACCTAGGGATGGACTCAGGCCGGGCGGCCCGGAACCGGCCCGGCCCGGGAACCGGCCCGGGGGGCGGTTCGGGTCGGCCCGGCCCGGTAGGAATGCGGTTCGGGCTCGGGCCCTAGGATTGGTGAACCGGCCCGGCCGGTTCGGGCCCGGTTCGGGCCAAATTATTATTATTTTTTTTTTTTTTGAATTTTTAGGTTTTTGGGTTGGGCTGGGTATTTTGGGCCATTTGAGGTGGTTTGGGGGTGAGGGGGGAGGGTTGGGGGTTAATTAGGAAAAGCCAAAAAAAAAATATAGAACCAAGGCCCGGCCCGACCCGGACCCGGGATTACCTGGGCCGGTTCCGGGCCTCCCATTCCTGAACCGAGGCCCGGCCGGGCCCGGGCCCGAACCGGGCCCGAACCGGAACCGGTCCACCCCTATCTTTACCCATGACGTGTCCATGTTCAACTTCAACCCCCCACAACTTTCTCCAGCAACCCAACCCTCCTGCAAAAACTATGCGGTCACGAAAGTTGACATCCTCCAAAGCCTGACTGGCGGAGGTCAAAATATCATTCCACAGTAGCAAAAAACACATACGTAGTAATAAGCAAACTGCACTTTTCGTTTTTCGTTAGAAAAAAATTCTTCAACCCACACAAAAAACATGTGCCGCAGCCAACTCACATCCCGTATTACAACATACTCGCATTGATCGGACTAAAGAACTAGAAATAAATATACAAAACATATTTTCCATATCTACTACATAGCTGGTTATCAGTTGGTAAACAAACCTGAACAAACCTATCTAAAATGTTTGCCTTAGTCAATCAATATAAAATTTCTCAATAAGGTAAGAGTAACAACTCTTTACGTAAGGAGAATAAAATGGTAGAATAATATAGGGTTCATATTAAATTTTTGTTCACTTCTTAAGTTCACTTTTATTGGTGCTAGCGTTTTCCAACTATTAATCAAATAATATTGTACGTGAAAACACAAGAGAAGAGATGATAATGTAAGAAAAGTTGAATAGAGAAGATAAAAAGTTATGCTCCACCCATCCCATTTTGTTTGTTCCATTCTCCTTTCTAATCCATTATAAAATGTTATCATATTAAATTGATTATATTTTGTGACTCACAATTATCCTTATATTTACAAAATAAATACCAACTAGACGATCTCAATCTTCTTTATTGTTTGTCTTTAAGAGAGTAATACGTATCAAAGATATCAATCTTCTTTATTGTTTTTGTCTTTTAGAGAGTAATTATGAATGGATAATGGATCAAATAATTATAAATTTATACTCCGTATGTCCAAAGTAAAGATACTTTATGAGAAAGTAAAAGTGAATGGAGAATTTAGATAGTACAAAGATTAACACGGTATTCCTTTAGAGAATCCATCGCATGCACATTTTTGCAATGTCATCACTTTTTTACCAGGAAATGTCATTGATACACATTTTAGTGTACACACTAAAATGTATTATCTACATTTTGTATGTAAACATTTTATCTAGAAACACATAAAGTGTCAATAAACTACCAATAAACTACATAGTATTATACAAAACTTGTACAAATAATGTGTATGGGACAGCTTCTTTCATTTGTGTTCAGCAGCCTTTCTAGCACGGTTAAAATTGGAAGAAAGGGGAAAACCTGGTCGTAGCAAGTGATGAAACAGGGCAGGATTTGAACGCAGGAGGAGGATTGATAAGAGAATCCGCATAATATATGCCACCACCCTCCAACCTCAACGTTCACGTACGAACAGTTCTTGAGCAATGCAGCCATATCAATCATCTCCAGCAGCTTCAAGCACATCTGATCGTCCTCGGCCATGGTCAAACTCAATTCTACGCGTCCAAGCTCGTACGCTTTTGTACAGTATCGTTCTCCAACCTTGGCTATGCTCGCTTCATTTTCGACCATCTCCGATCCCCCAATGTTCATCTCTACACTGCCTTGATCACTGCCTACAATTTGCATTTGGATTACAAATCTGCTCTTCTAATGTACAGAGAAATGGTCCGGAGAGGAAGTTCGAAGCCGAATGAGTTCATCTTTCCTTTAATCTTGAAGTCTTCTCCTGAAGTCGTCAAGCATTTCGGAACTCAAATTGTGCATGCTCAGATTGAGAAAAACGGTTTTTTGGAATACCCAGTTGTAAAAACGGCGCTTTTGGATTCGTACTCTAGGTTTTCGGCTGATATAACGATTGCTAGAGAACTGTTCGATGAAATGTCTGTGAGAAACGTGGTATCATGGACTGCTATGATTTCTTGCTTGACTAGAGTTGGAAAGGTGGGAGATGCCATTTTATTGTTTGAAGAAATGCCTGAGTCTCTGAGAGATACTCCTTCTTGGAATTCTATTATCTCAGGGTGCACACAGAATGGTTTGTTTCCGGAAGCACTTCTGTTTTTCAGGAGGTTGGTTCTTGAGGAGACGGTGAGTAATCTGAATAGACCAAACCAGACCTCTGTGGTGTGTGCACTTTCTGCGTGTGGACACAGTGGAATGCTTCAACTGGGAAAGTGCATTCATGGATATATGCTCAGGATTGGAATCCCCTCCGATTCATTCACTTTGAATGCTCTAATTGATATGTATGGAAAATGTGGGAGTTTGAAAGAAGCAAGAACAGTCTTTGATATAAGCCCGAAGAGAAGTTTGACATGTTGGAATTCTATAATCAATTCTTTTGCTCTTCATGGTCACTGGAGAAGTGCTATTGGTGTATTTGAAGAGATGTTGCGGCGTAGAGATCTAGTAAAGCCCGATGGGGTGACTTTCATTGGGTTACTAAATGCTTGCACACATGGGGGATTGGTAGAGGAGGGGCTTAGTTTCTATGATTCGATGACTAGGGAATACATGATTGAGCCTGAGATTAATCATTATGGTTGCTTAGTTGACCTACTTGGCAGGGCAGGGAGGTTCAATGACATCATGGAAGTTATCAAGGGTATGAGGGTTCCTCCCGATGAGGTGGTCTGGGGTTCTTTGCTTAACGGGTGTAAGATTCATGGGCGAACAGATTTGGCTGAGCTTGCTCTAAAGAAATTGATTGAGATAGATCCTAGCAATGGTGGGTATTATGCAATGTTGGCTAATATATGTGGGGGACTTGAGAAGTGGGATGATGCTTTGAGGTTAAGGAAGATAATAAATGCGCAGAATGCTTATAAGTTACCAGGTTGCAGTTGGATTGAGATTGACAACCAAGTTCATCAGTTCTATTCTTTTGACAAATCCCATTCTATGACTGCAGATATTTATTTGACTTTGGAGTCTATACTCAGCTCTTCTATCCTATAAGTCTCCCTTCTAGAGTGATGGTTTATGGAGACAATACCTAGCCAGACTGTATACGTAGTCCTGATCACCACATAAAATCTGAAATAGGGATGCACTCCGAATATAAATAGCTATTATTCTTGAGTATATAATGCATTTTAAAATAGTTAGAAATCCCTGACTTGGTAGTCCCTCCTGATATTCTTCTGATGAACGGGGTAAATAAATCTTCATTTTCGGATTTTGTAACACAAAGTTCATTCCGAACTTCCACATTCTCACACCAGCTGTTTTTCTGCCTACCGATGTATGTATAGGGCCTGCTCATTCAGTCATTTGGACTTGGAAATTCTGTTTTGTGCTGGTCTCGTCCGGTCTATTTTGGTCTCATCTCTTCTGATTTAACAATCTGTGTATTTTTTTACTATTACGTATTATTTAATGTTGGTTTATTATGACCTAGTATGGAAGTATGGTCTGGTCTAGTGGTCTTAGAGAGATACAAGTCAAAGAGAACATTGTGTGATCAATACATTTCACCTCATGAACAAAAATATCCACCCTGCAGTTCATTAGAATTCCTTGACAGGTGCTTCGTCTTGAAGAATTATTTAAAGTTAAAATCTTTTTCAAGGTCCAGAAAAAAAAAATCAAAAAGTTTTCTCTTTCTGTATTTCCAAACACATGCCCCGTTTAAAATTTTGCTCCTAAGCCTCTTAATTGTCCAGCATTCCTTTGTGCCTCTTCTTAGCTTTATACATTGTAAAGTTTAAAGATGTAATCATGGTACTTAAAAGTATTTATAAATTCTTGGGAAAACTGTCAAATAGGTCCTCGAACTTTCATAAAAAAGTCAATTAAGTCCTATAGGACACTCTGTCCGGTCGTCTCAATTTGAGGCAGTTCTCGGTGGAATTTTTTGATGAAATTTTTGAGCATCTTATTCATCAAGTCTAGTTTACTCATACCAAATTTCAGCTAAAAATTTAATCGGGAGCGCATTCAAATTAATTCGAGAACGCGAAAATGCGTAGTTATCTTCAAGAATTAATTTGAATGTGTTCCCGATTGAATTTTTAGCTGAAATTTGGTATGAGTAAACTAGACTTGGTGAATAAGATGCTCAAAAAATTCATCAAAAAATTCCACCGGTAACTGCCCCAAATCGCGACGGCCGGACAGAACCTCCTATAGAAGGACTTAATTGACCTTTTTATGAAAGTTCGAGGACCTATTTGACAGTTTTCCCTAAATTCTTTTATACGGAGTAACACTTTACTTAACAAATAGAGCTAAAAGATTTCCTTACCTTACTCTCTGTAAATTACAGTACTGTTTTAAAACTACCCACTTTTAGTGTTTAACACTCTCTTTATAATATCTATAACCAATCCTTTTTCCCAATTATAATCAAATTCAAAGATTGCCTATTTATTACAAACTGTCATCAGGTTTTTTCTCTACACATGCAAATGTATACTTGCTATCATCAGGTTTTTTCCCTACACATGGAAATATGTCTTGAGTGGAAGGTTACACATAGTACTCCAGTAAGTATAGGAAGTACAGTGGAGGATAGTGAAAGGAGTGGTACGCTGGACATTAAAATATGCTTTATAATAACTCCAAATTAATAAAGCAAATCATTAGCATAAATTAGAGTTAATTACATACTACACGGGTCATTAGTGCAACCTCTGTAAATCAATTCTACGAGTTCTCGTATTTTGAAAATGTTGCATAATAGTTTAAAAACCAATTTTTCTGAAAATCTCTCTTTCGATCGAGCACACTAAGAAATCCGTATTCGTAAGAAAGTCATCTCACATCCTATTGTGAATATCTATATTGATAATGTGAAACACCTTGTGGTTCAATAACATCACTATAACATTCACAAGGAGGAACTCACATGTATAACACTCATCTTAGTCAAGAATGTTGACATTTAACTGAACAAGTACTATAATAGATCAAATTAAGGCATAGCCAAAAACTTCTATATTGATAACATTCATTGAAGAAAAGGCTCTCTCAAGGGTACCTGCTTTTGCAATTGTAACTAAATTATACTCAATCATATGATATTCAAGGTGAAAAGAATTGTGAACTATAAGCTCAACCATCTTTTTATAAACTTCACGAGTACTTTGCACAACAGAAAATACTTCATTTGTTCTTGATATTTTCTCTCAGGTCTTAAAGTTTACCATTAGTTCTCTTAAGCAAGCTCATTATGTTGAGAATATTTTGATTTTTTTTGTTACAAGAAATGTGATAATTTATTCGTCAACCCCAACGCTTTCTTCATTAAGTGAGCGATAAAAACAAATTGTATCAAGATAAAAACAAATTCTCCATCTTTTCTATCAAGGTAATAGCATAATCCCTTGATTTTAAAGTAGTTATATCACATTTCTAGGATTATGTTGTCAAAAACAAATATATTGTCAAAAAATTGGATTATAGGAGACCACATAAAAAATACGATTTTTTTATACCCCAGGAATGTTATTGTATAATGTGAACCTTAAAGTGTAGCTCCTGATCGAGCTAAACTACTTTCTTGATATAATCCTCTCATGATTGTAAGTTCACCATTTTCTAATATCTATATCATGGTTTCATATTATTTTGCTAAAAATATATGTAAGGAAGTCACTCATATATAAACCTATTTTTTGTGCAACTGCTTCCCTTGACCTCAACATTTTCTCCCAAAAATATATTATTAATCATGAATACATTTTTCTACCAAAATGTGTTAGTAATTATCAAGTTCGCCACATATATTAGAAGGCCGGTCATATCCATGACCTCAACATTGAACAAAGATAATTTGTTCTTAATAAAAATCAATGACACTTTTCAAAGAAAATGTAGTGGTGCTAACATGTTAAATTCCAAAGAATCTCTCCATCACAACTCCGTGATCATTTACATGTCCTCTATCGACAATTGTCATTTGCTTTTTTGATGGACTTATCACTTTATCTAATAGTTACGAGCACTAATTTTATAAGTACAGATACTAAATTTCGGAGTTACAAGCAGGGCACTTGCATAAGTACATATATAAGGATATATATATATATATACCACATGTCAAAATGCTCGGTACTTGATAAATGAGGACTCTCTCAACTTTTTGAGAGGTTAATAATCATGTCAATGTGCTCGATAATGAGAATGTTGACGACTTGACGTACTCCATATATTTGCTATGTACGTATATGCAGGGATGGATTTAGGGGGGGCGCGGGGGGCGACCGCCCCCCTTGGAATTTCAAAATTTTCTACCATATATGTAATATTTTCATAAAACTTTCATAATTTAATTAGATTCGCCCCCCTTAGCTTTTAATTTTCAAAATTAATATATAGTGTTACATAATGTAATACTTAATTGAAGATTTAAAAGAAGGAACATCTAAAATAATTACATAACTTAAACAAATAAACAATAGAATAACTCGTTGTTTAAGATTTAGGATACTTATTATATAAGAATTCCTAGTTTTGTAATGTTTAATTATCTTTATTAGACAACAAGTACTTGATTTTGTAAAATATATATCAAACAATATTAAATATCAGACACACTAATTACACAGTTTTTAGATCACGTGAAATGAATCCAAAATATAAATGTTTATTGACATTAAATTACATAATTCATTTACTTCTTGCTTTCTAAAAATAATTTATTGCATAGATAATAAACTTTAAATTATTATAGCATTAATACAAATATTAAAATATAACATGCACCATATATGTGTGTATGTGGTGCATATTATTCTAAAAATAATAATATCATACATACTACTATTGTAATATTAAGAAAACTTCTCATTAGTCATGACTCACGAACACCATCCTTGGTGGCCGGACAAAAATTACAATTCAATAATAACCGATTCATGAGGTTAAACAATGTAGAAGTTATTAAAAATGTATTGGTTGATGTCTTTGTCATCGTCTAATTTAAAATTAGAATGTACTACTTAATAGATTTAAATGTCGTTGGGGATGTGTATGTATTAATGTCATTTTTTGAATAAAATTAGCCGCATAGCCCTACAGTAGCGGAAAAAATTCGCCCCGCTACACTAGGGAAAAAAAATTCGCCCCACTACACTAACGAAATTTTTTTCACCCCCTACACTACCGAAAAATTTCGCCCCCCTTGAATAGAAATCCTGGATCCGTCCCTGCGTATATGGTACATAGTATAACTTACACTTATTATAACTCACACTATTTATCTATTTCTGGTATCTGGTGTAAAAATGAAATCTATTTCTAGTTACATGTGTATTCTGTACAATAAAGAACTTTCATATCCCACTCCACGAAATAAATTAACCACCCTAGCTAGCCTGTCATTCCAATGCATGCATTTCAGTTTAACTATACGCAATACACATAGTAACTCATCCACTTTAAATATATACAATCACATAAAAAAAAGCTCATAAATCAAATAAGGCGCATTAAAAATTTTCAATGTTTGATGTAATATTTAAAAAGTCTTTAAAAGTTTTTAGTTTGACATTATAAATTTTATATAAGAGCTCTTTTAAAATTTAGGGAAAGAGGTCAAATAGGGCCTCGAACTTACATAGAAAGGTCAAATAAGGCCTTATATAGGAGGTTCTGTCCGACCGTCGTCATTTGGGGCGGTTCCTGGTGGAACTTTTTTATGAATTTTTTTTAGCATCTTATTCAAATAAATTCTTGAAGATAACTGCATTTTTAACTGCACAGTTATCTTCAAGAATTCATTTGAATGCCTTCCCGATTGAAGTTTTAGTTAAAATTTTGTATGAGTAAACTAGACTTAATGAATAAGATGCTCAAAAAAATTCATCAAAAAATTTCAGCGGAAACCGCCTCAAATGGCGTCGGCCGGACAGAGCCTCCTATATAAGGCCTTATTTAACCTTTTTATGTAAGTTCGATGCCCTATCTGACCTTTTCTCTAAAATTTATGATTCTTTTAGAAGCTACAGCTAGCACTGAATAGTTTCTGAGTTAAATTATGTAGCTTAAAAAATTAATGAGTCATAAAGAACTAAATTAAAACGTGAGTTTTTATCACAGATCTTCTTTGAAACTCTTTCCCGTCATTAAAGCTAACAATTACTAAATAAATAAAATTTACTTTGCAACTAGTTATGTCAAATACTTTACAAAAACGATTTACGTTAAATATAAACATAATCAATTACTTCTCGTTCTTTTTCCTTTTTCAAAAATATGAATCGAAAAAGAATATGAATCGAATAATTACATATTTATGACTAATAGGATAAAAATTGTTACAAACTAAAATATGACTACTGCCTATAGTTTATAGTGGTAATTTATGTTCAATTTTT